ATAATAATAATAATAATAATAATAATAATAAAATTAATAATATTAAATCTATGGGTAATTCCATCTCCTGTGCCCTCCTTTCGAACCTTTCTTCAAAAGAAAGCAAAATCGAAAATTCCAGAAGATGAGAACATAGTTACATGGCGCCATAAATCCGCCACCTCACCCTACTTCTTCCTCGAGCATTATCCTCTCTCGTCTTCTACTACTGGGCTCAGAAGTTCATCCATAAAAGCACCAGAAACCCTCTGCAACTCCAACGGATCGAAGAGGCAAAATCAAAAAGGAAAGATAGAATGGGGAAAGAGAGCAAAGAGATGAACGTAGTCCGCGGTCTGGATCTTCAGAGGTACGTGGGAAGATGGTATGAGATTGCTTCGATACCTTCCTTCTTCCAACCCAAAGACGGGGTGAACACCCGCGCCACCTATTCTCTCAATGCTGATGGGACGGTCCATGTTCTAAACGAGACCTGGAGCCGTGGAAAGAGGGATGCTATCGAGGGTTCAGCTTATAAGGCAGATCCCAACAGCGATGAGGCTAAGTTCAAGGTGAAGTTCTACGTTCCTCCCTTTTTCCCGATTATTCCCGTCATCGGCAACTATTGGGTTCTCTACCTTGATTCGGATTATACCATCGCGCTTATTGGAGAGCCGACTCGCTGCTATCTCTGGGTTAGTATTGTTGCCTTTGATGTATGTTGTCGATTATTCATATTTTTTTTGTTTAATAAATATTTTGATGGGAGGGTTTTTGTTGCGGGGTGATATGGAGGTTCTGATAAACAACAGAAGCATTTGGTCTAGGGCCTATTGCTGCATGGTTTTATAGAATCTTATGGGATTTTTATATTAATTTTGTAATGGGATTTGATGCAAAATCAAATGATGAATGCATTAAATTCATCAATGCATTAGATTCAATGCTGTATGTGAAAAAGTTTTAAGACTATAGTATAAATGCGGGGAACAAGGAGAACGAAAGGGATTAACATTCAAAAATTCTCTTGGATAATTTAGGTTTCTAGTTAATCCAACAAAGAAAGGGTGATTTAAAGTCAAGTAAAGAGATAGATGTAAGAGCTGTCAAAAAATTTAAACAGCTCTCAAACAGCTCTTATTGGGTGGCATCGAGATAGTTAATTGTACCATTTAATTAAAGTTAATGGTTAGTGTGTTAGGATAAACACCAGGATATTTGAGATATGAGACATGAGGGAGAGAGTAATGATGATCAGAAAGTGGTGCATGTGGGAATAATGATTTGTTCCGTTGTGTGGGAAGGATAAACTGAGAAAAAGTTAAAAAATGAGGAAAATAAATCCGAAGGTTGAGGGGTTAAATCTTAAAGGAAGCTGCGTGTGTATACAAGCAGGAGGAGGCAGGATGAGGGAACAATGCCCCCAGTATCGCTCATACCATTAAGCCTCTTGTCCCGGACTACCCGATTCCTGATACATCTACACATTCCACTTTAGGATTTGATTACCCAAGCGATATTATTGCTCTCTTCTTCTCCCACTCCTATAGCTTTGAGATGGACCTCTCGTAGCAATACAGGTCGTTCTCCTGATTGTTTTGATTTTTCAAATTGTTCATATCACCTGTATACGAAGCATTCTTTACATCTTTAGACACTGTCTCTATACTCAAGCATTAGCAGGTAGCTAAAAAGGATCTAAAGTGGAGGGGCTGCCATGCTAGAAGAACTTGGTACTCTTGATAAGAACAGGATGTGGGAGATATTACTATAGCCAGTGTTGAAAAGAGTAGTAGGATGCAAGTGGATCTTCAGAGTTAAATAAAATCTAGAAGGAAAAGTGGAATGTTACAATTCATGTGTTGCCAAAATAGTACAGTCAAACATAGGATATTGATTATGATGGAATTTTGCACCAGTAGCGAAAATGAGCTTAGAGAGGATAATAGTTTCTCTCATTTTGAATGATGGATGGAGGTTACTCCAACTCATGCAAAGAATGTTTTTTTTTTATAGAAAGTTACTGGAGATGTTTATGGATATATTATCAGAATTCAGTACAAATCAAATAATGGACAAGATGTGCAGCTTCAGGAAGTCAATTTATGCCTTGAAGCAATCTTCTCGAGTCTGGTTTGACAAGTTTAGAAAATTTATGATGGGCATGAGATATCAGTAGATCAATACCAATGATATAGTGTTCTTTTGTCAAAATGGTGGTCAAATCGTTATGATTGTTGTTTAAGTTGATATGATTGTCATGGGTGATGATGAGACAGAGATTTTTCAACTAAATGTATGTTGGGCAAATAATTTGTTATGCCTTGTAGTAATCTCCTTGAGCCCGATTTGATAAATTTAGAAAATCAATGGTGGACATGGGATATCAGTAGATCAATGCTGACCATACGGTGTTCTTTTGTCAAAATGGTGGTCAAATCACTATGATTGTTGTTTATGTTGATGACATGATTATCATGGGCGATGATGAGAGAGATTGCTCAACTAAATGTATGTTGGGCAAAGAATTTGAGGTAGACCTTTGACATCTCAGATATTTTCTTGGGATTGAGTTGGCTCGTGGATCAGAGGTGATGGTCCTATCTCAAAGAAAGTATGCACTAGATCTCCTTACAAAAACATATATTCTAGGATTGTGATGTTGCAGCCTCTCCAATTGATCAGAAGGCCGAGTTGAATGCAGAAGTTGGAGAGCTAGTCGACCGTGAGAGATACCAGAGATTGGTGGGTTGCTTGATCTATCCTAGTCACACATGTCTCGACATCTCATTTTAGTGATCGTATTGAGCCGCTATATGCATGATCCAAGGAAGGGTCTTATGGACACAGTGTATCGGATTTTGAGGTACCTTAAGAGTGTACCAAGGAAGGGGTTGATCTTCAGGAAGAATGGGCATGTAGACATTAATGGTTATTGTAATGTTGAATGACGAGTTGCGCAGATGACAAAAGATCCATATCAGAATATTGCATATTCGTAGGGGGCAACTTGGTCTCTTGTAAGAGCAATAAACAATTTGTAGTAGTGAGGTCAACAACAGTGGCATAGTACAGGGTCATGACCTCAGGAGTTGCCGAGATGATGTGACTGAGAGTCTTCTTGGTTGAGCTCAAGATAAACCAAGGAACTCAATTGAAATTGTAGTGTGACAACAAGTTAGCAATCATGCCAACAACCCGATGCAACACAATAGACCAAACATGGGGAGATTGATAGATTCTTTATCAAGGAAAAATTTAATAATGAACTACTGGAGCTAAGCCATGTAGCCACTGGAGAGCAAGTGGTAGACTGTCTCACTAAAGAATATGTCTAGATTACGTGACGAGATGGGCTTAGCGGATATCTTTTGCCCATCTTGAAGAGTATTGTTGAGATTTACATCTTATTTTGAGAAGTCTAATTGTAAATAGGAAATATAGAAAAAGTCTATTGGTTATTTATAAAAAGATTGCAAGGCTCCTGAATGAAGGAAATAAGATTTGTACTAAAATACTCATTTCTTCCTTGAGAAAGAAAAATCTCCACAAATATATCTCATGAATCCTTGAGATCATTTTGCTATATTCAACTTTTGTTTGGTAAAACTCTAATTCTTACCTACAAAGGTAAAGCATCCTGAAGTTGATTGGTAGCTATAAACTGCCCCTGACCAATTAACATTTGTGCATTCCTCAATCTTTTCTACTACATTTTGCAATAATATTCATATTCTTATTTCTCCATGCAATTAAAATTTTCAAATACAATCTGTTTGTCATTGGTGTCACAGATACTAAGCAGGACAACTCATATTGATGACGCAACATACAATTCGTTGCTCGAGAAGGCAAAGGAAGAAGGTTATGATGTAGAGAAGTTACATAAAACACCTCAGGCTGATCCTCCCCCGGTAAGCGATGATGCTGCGAGCTCCAAGGACAAAAAGGGAATTTGGTGGATCAGATCCTTGTTTGGCAAATAAGAAATCAGAATAATAGTTAAAAAGGTTTTCATTTCTTGAAAAATAAAACATTTAGGACGCCCCTCTTGTTCAATTTCATGTACTTTCTATTCCTAGTTTGTAAAGTACGGTCGATGTTACGTACAATTACTATAGTGATTTGGACGATAATTTTCTGTTTGCTTGCGTTTTAGGCTATCGTCACAGTTCTGTTTGGGGAACTGTTTTATTGCTGTTTTCTAGAATTCTCTGTCATAGAAATTTATCTTTTTCAACTTGACATGTTCAAATGTGATTATTTGGCTATATATTCTGTGATAGAAATTTATCTTTTTCAACTTGGCATGTTCAAATGTGTTGACTGTAAGAAAATTACTATGTGGTTATTTGGGTATATATATATATATATATAATTCTTATCATAATTTATTATTACTATTAATATGAAACATGAATGCATATTGAATTTCAATTATTTGTTTGACTATAATTGGAAGCACACCTTCAGTAATTGTCATGGTCTAATGGCCCCACTTTTTAAACCACTAGTTAATTAAAGATAAGATCTAGAAAGCTTTCTATTTTAAAAAAAATCATACTATTTTTAGATGAACTAATATCATCTGGAAATCAGGTATATTGTCATTCTAGATTTGTCCCAGAAAAAAAAATGTAGAACAAACCATGCTACAATAAGTTATGATGAATAAATATATTCATTTTTATTTGTGTCATTAAAAGAGATTATTTATGTGACTCATTGTTAAATGTCGAAATACATTTTAAGACATGTAATATGCAATTTTAAAAGTTTGCTAATAGTATTAGAATATTTTAAAAGTTAATTTTGTTGGCATCCACTCATGAAATTTTCTAAACATAAAAAAAAAAAAAGTTTATGAATGTGGATGTATGATCAATATATATAACAAATTAAAAATCAAGTGGATGATAGTTGTGTGCATTAAAATTATTAGTATTAATCTCGAAGCAATCAAGTGGATCAAGATGGTGGCCAGACAATTGAGACATAAAGTGATTCAATCAGCAGACCAAACTACACTTTTTGTCGCCTCTTTACAAGGGCAACTGATTGCAACTACTCAATCAAGAGACTTGCACTTCCACGTTAGCAATCGTCATTCAACCTGTCGCCTCAGTCGATCGAACTCAAACGCGTCAACTAGCTGATTACCGTCATATTCAAATTGAAGTTGTAATATAAATTTAATGTTAAATCAACATATGGATTGCATCAATGACGGTTTACATAAAAGTTCCCTCATTTCTATAATAGCATGAATACTCCTATTAATAGGGGACAAAGAGACGAATAAAGGGACCTCTACCTGAAGGTTGAAGGCTTTTCTAGGTCTCCCTGCTGAGAATTTCCCAACTTTTTTTTTCTCTCTCTACTCTTCCTCTCTAGGCTCTAACTCTCGAGGCATATATTTACGAAAGACAATTTAGAATTGAACTATAGTGATTTAATACAAATTGAAATGTTTATTCTTATTAAGATGATCAAATTATTACGTGTTAGATAATTTATAATTAAACTATTGCGGAGAAATTATTGTTTATTAGCAAGTTTAACCTTTATAAATTTTAAAGCAAGAAGGACTGCTTATTATTGAAAGTGTAGTGAGTAGAAATCTCAAAAACTCTTTATGCAAAAGTTCTCCCCTTAAATGTGCATAAATACAATATATGTATAAATTTGTGTAAGGTATTATCATCGTTTATTTCATAAATTGGAATAATTAATCATACATCTCAAAAATATACCCTTAGACATTTTAGTTCATTAATGATCGTAGAACAGAGGAACTGTTGAGCTCATTTGGCCATATAACTAATGATCTAAAACTTTCAATTATTCTATAATGATTTGATCAGGGCTCCATGAACCCAGATTGAACCGATTTTGACATTGTTGGGTTCACCTTGTTGAAACAATCAACTGGACTATAAATTTATTGAAATTCGAGTCCACATGATCTTGAAATTGAATTTGAAAGATCATTTATCCAAAATATATTGAGAATCATGTTTGATACAAAATTTGTTAATGACACGTCAACTATAATATTGAAGAGAAGAGTTTTGTGAGCAATAGTCAATTATCATGTAATATCTTATAAGCCTAAAAAGTAAAAATGGTTTCTATTAAAAACCTCAATTTTGTTGGCCAGGGAGCAATAACTTTTAAAAATTATTTGATATTTTTACACTGGATTATCACAATAGAAATATATATAACTTAAACATTTAAATCATTTCAAAAGAACATCAATAAAAATAAATAAATAAATAAATAAATAAATAA